CCAGTGCAGTGACTATTGGTTTGCAAGCCAGTGCCTGGCAGCCAGGAGGAAGGTACAGCAGGCTGCGTATCACAGTGGGGAGCCTCAGAGCTGTGTAGCCAGCCAGAGGGATGGAGTGTCTGAAGCTCCTCAGCGTTCCCACCTGCTGGGCAGAGCACACCCAGACAACCTTTTATCCACCTATCCCTTCTCCTGTGCAACTCCATGCAAACCCCGCCCCTTCAGCAGCCCTCTTGCTGCTAGGAAGCCTCTCAGACCACCTGCCTTTCATTTGTCCCAGAGAGGCCAGATGGGGATCCCAATCCTTCACAAACAGCCAGAATCTCAGTCTCTCAAGCACTCCGCCTGTCCCAGCTCCCCAACCCCACCAACCTCCAGAGCACCACATTATGTAGGTTTATGCTCCAAAGCAGACCTCTAGGGCTGGGTGTTCAGCAGTCTTAGGCTTCCACCCTTTCCGTACTCCATATCTCTTCCTCCCACCAGTGAGCTGGGGTGGGGGAAGGGCTTGGGTCCTGCCAGATCAAGGCTTTGGTACATTACCCTGCTTCATGAGGTCTGCTCTGTTCATGAGGTCTGTATGCAGTCTGGGGCAGCCTTCCCTCCTGTTGCTCTTCTAGGGTTAGTTGTATTAACTATATTTTGTGCTAAATGTGGTTTTGGGAGGAGTTTTCTGTCTCACCTCTCATGCCACCATCTTGAATCTCATCCTCCCCAGGTAATTTTTAAATTTCTTCTTTGATGTCATTACTGACCCATTGGTGGTTCAACAGCATGTTGCTTAATTTCCACATATTTGTGATCTTTTCCAGTTTTCTTTCTATAATTGATTTCTGGTTTGGTATCATATGGTCAGAAACAATACTTGAAAAAATTTCAATCTTCTTTAAAACTGAGATGTGTCTTGTGGCCTAACATATGATCTATCCTTGAAAATGTTCCATGTGCACTAGATAAGAATGTGTGTTCTGCTTCTTTTACATGGACTGTTCTGTATATATTTCTTAAGTCCATCTGGTCTAATGTGTCATTTAACGTTGATGTTTCTTTATTGATTTTTGTCTGAATGACCTATCCATTGATGTAAGTAAGGTATTAATTGCTACAAATTTCTCTTTAGGCCTGTAAGTATTTGCTTTACATATTTAAGTGCTCCTATGTTGAGTGTGTGAATATTTACATCCTATCCTCGTGTAGAATTGGCCCTTGTTTCATTCTGTAATGCCATTCTTTGTCTCTTATTACAGTCTTTGTTTGAAAGTATATTTTGTCTAACATTAGCATAGCTACACAACAGCTTTCTAGTCATTTACATTTGTATGGAATCTTTTTTCATCCCTTCACTTTCAATCTATTTGTGTTCTTAAACCTGAAGTCTCTTGTAGGTAATATATAGATGGGTCTTGCTCTTTTGTCCATTCAGCCACTATGTCTTTCGATTGGATCATTTAGCCCATTTACATTTAATTATTGATAGGTATGTACTTATTGCCATTTTGTTAACTGTTTTCTAGCTCTTTTTGTCATTCCTCTCTGCTGCTTTCTTTTCCTGCTCTCTTACCTTGAGCTTTTGTAATCTTCTTTTACGTTATGCTTAGATTGCTTTCTCATTGTCCTTTGCTTATCTGCTGTAGGCTTTTGCCTTCTGTTTACCATCAGGTTCACATATAACATCCTATACATATATAAAAGTCTATAAACTTGATAGCATCTTACGTTTGAGTACATTCTAAAACTGTATTTTTATGCCCCCACATGGTTTTATGATGTCCTATTTTACATATTTTTGTGTATTCCTTAATTACTGTAGTGATAGTTAATTTTACTTATTTTTTTTCTTTTAATCTCATATTAGCTTTATAAGTGGTTAATGCACCACCTTTACTATGTATTTGCCTCTACCAGTGTTATCTTTACTTTGTTTTCTTATTATTATTTGATGCCTTTTCAACTGAAAGAAGTCCCTTGAACATTTTTTACAGGCTGGTGTAGTACTGATGACTTCCTTTAATTTGTGCTTGTTTGGAAAACTTTTTCTCTTTCTCAGTTCTAAATGATAAAACTTTGCTGGGTAGCAAATTCTTGTTGGGAAATGTTTTCCTTTCACTTTGATTACATCATACCACTCCCTTCTGGCCCGCAAAGTTTCTGCTGAAAAAATCAGCTTATAGACTTATGTGAGCTCCCTTGCTTGTAACAAGTTGCTTTTTTTCTTGCTGCTTTTTAAGGTTTATCTTTAACTTTTGACATTTTAATTATAATGTGTCCTCATGTGGTTCGGTTCTTCTTGGGTTCTCTTATTTGGAACTCTACTGGCTCCCTGGACTTTGGATATATGTTTTCCTTCCACAATTTGGGGATGTTTTCAGCCATTATTTCTTCAAATAAGCCTTTCACTCCTCTCTTTTCTCTTTCTGGGACCCCTATAATGCAGATAGTATTTTTCTGGATGTTGTCTAAGAGGCTCCTTCTTCACCTTTTTAAATTCTCCAAAGAAGAAATTCAGATGGCCAAAAGGTACATGAAAAGATGCTCCACATCGCTAATTATCAAGGAAATGCAAATTAAAACCACAATGAGATAACACCTCACATCAGTTAGGATGGCCAACATAGAAAATACTAGGAACAACAAATGCTGGCAAGGATGCGGAGAAAGAGGAATCCTCCCACACTGTTGGTAGGAATGTAAATTAGTTCAACCTTTGTGGAAAGTATTATGGAGGTTCCTCAAAAAATTAAAAATAGAAATATTATTTGACCCAGGAATTCTACTCCTAGAAATTTACCCAAAGAAAACTCAATTCAGAAAGACATATGCACCCCTATGTTTATTGCAGCACTATTTACAATAGCCAAGATATGGAAGCAACCTAAGTGTCCTTTGGTAGATGAATGAATAAATTCTTTTTTTTTTCTTTTACTGCTCTTTTAGGATGATTTCCAATGCCCTGTCTTCCAGGTTTTTAATCCATTCTTCTACTTCATCTAGTCTGCTAACATGTATTTTGTTCTTCAGCTCTGTGACTTCTGTTTGGTATTTTCCTGTTTTCTCTTTGTTGATGTTCTCATTGTGCTCATACATTCTTCACCTGACTTTGGTGAACACATTTATGACCATTAATTTGAACTCTTTATCAGATATATTACTTATCTCTGTTGCATTAAAGTCTTTTCCTGAGGTTTTGTCTTCTTTCACTTGAAACATGCTCCTCTGCCTCTTCACTTTGCTTGATTCTCTGTCTTTGTTTCTATAGTTTATGTAAAAGTTACATCTCTGTCTTGAAGGAGTGGTCTTGTGTAAGAGATGAAACTTATTGTTTAACTTCAAACTAGGTTTTGGCTGTTTCTCAGACCTTTGTGATTGTCTAAGTAGACTGATTTGTTCTTGTTGGTCCCAGTTGTTGAGTGTGTGCTAAGACCTCTCAGTGTTCCAAAGGGAGGCATCACAGATGGTTCCTAGTTTCAGGCTAACTGTAAGCCAGATTCTCAGGCAGCAGCTTCTAAGGTATGCAAATATATAGTCTTGTGGGTTCACAATCATAAACCTTGCTGACTTCTGGACCAAGACATCTGGAGTTGTTCCCTGGGTGACAGCTATAAAAACGGTAGCATTATATATTCTGTGAGGGATCAGTGAACTGTGGCAAAGCCAAGATAGGGCACTGTCCCTGTTCCATGGAAGTGCTTCTTGTAGCCTCTGAATGTGGGGCAAACCTAAAGCTTTTCCCTGAGGATGAACCTTCAGGATAAGAAAATGGGCCTTTTTCTCATGAAGACTCGAGGTATATTTCAGTCTACTTTTGTGCAATGTCCTGTGGGTGATGGCCTGTTAAAGACTCTCTCTCTAATTGTTTCAAACTTATGAGGCCCCAAAACAATCCCCCTTGATCAATCAGAGTCAAGCATTCAAGTGACATATCCCATGTGGGCTGTGTGCATCTGCCAGCTGTGACAGGGCAGGCAACTGCCACCAGAGCTAGCAGGCTAAAGAAGAGTTAAAAAATGGCATCTCCCTATGTCTGGACCAACAAGCCAAAAGGAGAATGGAAAAATGGAGCCTGCCAGTGCTTCCATCTCTGGAGAGAAGTCCCAACAGTTTCCTGCCTCTCCAGCAGATGTTTTAAGATCAGCAAATGAGACTGCTTCACATATGGTCTACCTTTAAAACTTGCTTTTATCCTGGGTCCCATGTGAGTGAGTCTGTGTGTGAGCCCTTTATTAGCAGATTTTTCATTCCCTGTAGCCCTATGATTCTCCTGGAAGCCGGACCCTTCAATTTTCAGGGCAAGATGTTTTGGGGGCTCATCTATTCAGTGTAGCTGACAAGGGTTGAGGTGCCTGATGTGGGATATAGACCTCTTCCTCTTCAGGAACAAGCTCCAAATTATGAGATACCTCCTGACAGTGGGTTGCCAAGCCTGAGGTGTGATTTATTATGGGATGGCATCTCCACATTTCCTACCCATTTTGACGTGGCCCTTTTATCCTTTGTTGGAGAGGCACTGTTCAGCTCCCTTTCTGGTCCTTTTCAAAGGGAATTTTTCCCTAGGTAGATGATGTTTTGTTGTGTTTGTAGGAGGAAGTGAGTTCAGGATTCTTCTAAGCTCACATCTTTCAATATGTCTTTTAATTAGCATGTAGATTCCAAAGTAACAAACAGCTTACATAATTAAAATATATCAGGCTAAAAGAGGATTTTCATAAACTATTCCTGTAATAAATAAATAAATAGAATAGATAGATAAATAAATATGTATGTATGTAATAAATATATTTATTTCTATTTCCACAGTCAAATAGAATTCATCTTAAATACTATGACCATACTAAATCCAGAATTTCACACTGGTTTTTGTGACTAAAGCGACATCTTACCTTATATAGGTTTCAGCACCAATCCATATTAAATTAGGATATAGATCAGAAAAGAAGAAATAAAACCAACTTTCCAGGAGTGTAAAGAAAGCAAAATATTCAAATTTCTTATTTTGGTCTTACCGTATGTGACTCTAATTCAGCAATTTTCTCAGGGATCTCAGAACCCAAATAATACATTCTAATAACATGGTCAGTGCTACCTGTTGTAATGAACATACCACCTAGAGGATTAAAAAAACAAACAAACATTGTACCAAGGAACTTCAAAAATCCTCAGATTGCTTCCTTAGTTATATGGTGCTTTATAGGGCTTCAAGAAACACAAGGTCATCTTCTAGTCATTAAGTACATACTAAGATTTCAGAGAAAACTAAGCAAAATTCAAGAAAAATGAGAAATATTTAAAGGCCAATTATATCACTCACCCAACAGAAACAGAAAAACTATACACTAAATAAGGGCCTTTGGATCATAAACATTAAAGGCCACAGGCTTGGGGAACATTTCTTTGTATTTTCTGTAAACACATAATGTTGCAAAATTATTTATAGAATGATTTATATCTAAAATTCTCTTTATAATGTCTAGAGTGGTTGAATGTAAAAACTCCACCACTTCTGGGATGAATAAAAATATCTAGAGATGGATGGTGGTAATATATGCAAAATAATGTTAATAAACTTAATGCCACAGAACTGTACACTTAAAAGTGCTTACTAACATGGTAAATTGTTATATTTTACCACAACAAAAAAAGAAAAGGTTAACTAGTATACAATTCCTAGCAGTAGAAAAGCACTCTTTACACACTGTAAATGTGTCTTCTGTATGGAGCCACAAAACATGTTTTCTGAAATGTCAGGACAGGCTTTTAGTGTTGATATGTCATGGGGTGGAGGTTCTACTTTTACCAACTAAATTCTCTATTATATAAAAACTTACTAATTACAAATAAGAAAAAAAGTCAAAAGCTATTACATGTTAAAGCCCACAAAGTTCTATTATAACATATGGTTCATTAAAATCCATAAAGGTCTATAAAATTATAAAAAAAGTTCATATTTTTGGTATGCTTCCATTAACACCCAAATATGCAATTTTTTCATCCACAAAATTGAAAAATATATATTTTACACAACTGGATCACTTAATAATTTGGGGACTCAAACATTCAATTTTTATACATACCAGAACTGAAGGATGAACACGATATTTGAACTCCAGGTCTAGATCTCTCTGTAAATTTCACTGGGCGATCCCTAAAAGAAAAGAAAGATGTTTTTATTTCTCATCATGTTCATTTAATGTGCAAAATATTAGCATGCTACTGGATATTGACAGATTTATTATCAATATTATAAAAACCTTTAAATTAAAGTAGTCAGTACATACTATTCCTATCATTCAGGTTAAAAATGCATTTAACCTTACAAATAATTATAGCTTTACAAATTACCATGTTACTAACTACGACCATGAGGAGAAGTTCTAAGTCTTACCAGAGCAAAAATGAAAGAAATACTCCTTACCAAATTTTGTGTACAAATTAGTCTCTTCAACACTGGATTCATAAAAATCATATTCTAAAATCTCTAACATCCAATTCAAGTAGGTATGGAAGTATATATAAACACACACACACATGCACTGTATGATAGAATCTGGACCTGAGTACCACCTTTTGAATAAGCCCACCTACCATCATAGAGAGACCTAGGTGTCATCTTATCTAGGCCACAAGCATTCTCCAGAGGACACGTCAGCAGGCCACAAGCCCCCCCTGACCCCTCCCCTCAAAGAACCCACCAAAAACCCAGGCCATAAAAAGCCTCTTGACCCATTAGAGACTCTCTTTCCTTTGTTCTGCTGACCAGAACAGGGGGGTCCCTCTCAGGTTCAGCAATAAACCTGGTTGGCCTGTGGGTTCGCATCCCTTCTCTTCTTTCAAATGGTACTGAAACCCAGGAACAGGAAGCGGAGAGCAGGGGCTCTTTTGCAGCCTAGGAAGCAGCTTGTCCCGGGCTAAAGCCTAGATCCTGAGAGCCTCCAGTGTCTCACCTCATTTCCCTTCCCTCCGTTACCCAACAGCCCCTCGTGAACTCCAGTCCAGGGACCACCTTGGCAGACCTCAATCTACACATCCACCACTGGCTATTAATCCATCGCCATTCCCAGGAGGGTAAGATTTTGGCCTCTCATTGGCTTTCTCTTGGTGCAGAGAGAAAGTTGGTCTGGGTCCCCTTTCCTTTATCCTTTTCCTCTCTCTTTTCTCTGGTTGAGAACACCATAAGGGGACCTCCTACACTCTGACTTGGGGGACACGCTTCCTTTTGGTGTGCAGGACAATCCTGCTCCAGGAGCCTCTGGTTGGGAAACTGATCGTAGGGAGACATCCTGGTGGAGTGCTTCCCAAACACTGGCCACCCTTTCTCACCCCTCCCACAATGGGCAATTCTCCTTCAAAAACACCAGCAGACACCCCCTCAGCTGTCTCCTAGGTAATCTTTCCCAACTGTGATTAAAAGGAGACATTAAAACAAAAAAACTGGTCTTTTACTCTGCTTCCATGTGGACTCAATATAAACTTAATAATGGGTGGCACTGGCCAACTGACGCCAATTTCTATTTCCAAATTCTCCAAGATCTTAGTAACTTCCTCCAGAGGACTGGCAAATGGTCAGAGGTTCCCTAAATCCAAGCTTTCCCCCTCCCTAAGCAACCTTCCTTTTATTTTTTCTCTTCTTCTTTTCTTCTCACAGCTGACTGCCTCAGCCTAGGCAACTTTCCTAACTTGTTTAGTAGTCTCCCCAGGTACCTTAGCTTCCTATTGTCCCCGAATCTCTGGGAGGCTTGCCTGGCCAAACACTCCCTTATGCCTTTTGCATACTGTATGCTTTTTGCTGACTCTAACAACTCAGGTAAGAGCTGAACGAAAACCCTCTAAAGTTCTCCTTACCAAACAAAATTCCCTACCCCTACCTTGATGACATTGCACCTTTAACTACCCTCCTCCTTCCTCTGTTACTCTCCACTTTATCATACTCCTCCCCAACAGCCTCAGCAAAATCCAAATCCCTTCCCTATTGTGGGCTTCTCCTGAACACCCTTCCCCCTCCTACTCTCTGATATCTGCCAGCCCGTGTGCCTCTTCTAACCCAACCCCCTCCACCGGGCCCAGCCTCAAACATGCTCTTGCACTCTCACTTCCCACCCAATACCTCCCCAGACTGCTTCTCACCCTATCCTACTCCTCTGTGAGGTAGCAGGCACTGAAAGGCCCATTTGTGTTCATGTCTCCCTTTCAATTAATGATCTGGAGTGTACTGAACAAAAGATGGGGTCCTCCTCAACCCTGATAAATTCAACTATGAGCACCTCAGGAAAATTACCCAGGGGGCAGATGAAAACCCAGCTCTCTTTATGAACTGTCTTTCAGAGGCAATGATCAAATACACAAATACCAGCCCTAACTCCCCTGAGGGCCTTATTCTCCTACAACTCAACTTCATTTCCCAGTCTTACCCAGATATTTGTAAAAATCTCCAAAAGTGAGAAAGTGGACCCCAAACACCCCAAAAAGAGCTTTTAAAGTTTTCAAAAACCGGGATAAGGAACAAAGAACTCAGAAAGAAAAACAGGTAAAGCCAAATATCAGATTCTGGCCTCCCTAGTCCGATCTCCCACTGACAAACCTGCAAAAGGTTCTACCCCATACCTACCTAGCAACTATTTCTGCTGTAGCAGTCAGGGCCACCGGGCAAAAGTTTGCCCTAATCCCAGGCCTCCTACAAAGCCATGTCTGAATAGTGGGTCACTGGAGAGTGAACTACCCTCAAGGGAAGTTAACCCCTCCCTTGAGTTCTCTCTGCTCCAGGCGACCAGACACATCTAGAGAGGACCTAGCGGCACTCATGGCCTTGTCTTCAGAGACAGATTGATGGGCCCAGATCCCAACACCAGCAGATCCATGGGTAACAATGGTGGTGGCAGGAAGTCAGGTTTCTTCCCTGGTCAACACACGGGCCAGCCTCTCTGTGCTTACTGAATATTTGGGACCTTTGATCCCTTCCTCTATCTAGATTGTTGGAATGAAAGCCTTAACAGAAACACCAGCCCAAACCCCTCCTTTATATTGTTCCTTGGTCAATATTACTTTCCCTTACTCCTTTCTAGTAATCACCTACTGTCCCACACCCCTTCTGGGAAGAGATATCATCCACCACATTGGGACAGGGTGGGTGGCCTTGATTGATATGCTCCCAGAGGGAAGCTGCTATCCTGGGAGGGGACCAGAGTAGTAAAATTTCTTATGTTAATTTTGTAGAATTACCCAGAGGACTGATAAGACAATTTTCTACATCCAGATGGTACTGCTAAAACTAATTGATTTAAAGACAAGTGCTTGTAAAAATTGGGCAATCCCAAACTTCCAGAAATTCTGATAGAAGTTATTCAGATGTTACAGAAATACCCAAACATCATCCTTATATCAACTGTCTTAAAGCTCTCATCAAATCTTTAAATGCTGTCATTTCTAAGTCTTTTGTCATTTATAGTTACTGTTTTACTCCTGAACAAGTAAAGAACTAAATTTAAGCAGAGCAAAAATTAGTTACGAAAAATTAAGTAAACTGAGGAAGGTGATTTTAATTTTATGCAAATGTCATTAATCTTTTAAACAGAAAAACAAGTGTCTGCTTCAACCTTTTCCTCTTAAGCTAGCTTACAACAGTTTAGTAAATTGTACCTTTAAAGAAGAATTGAAACATTTTTCTTTCTTTCTCTACCTGATCTCTCCAGAATTTAGAAACTCTCAGTGACTATTTTCTTATTTTATGGCAACATTTTTATTTGCATAAGTTCAATAAGAAACTGCTCTCCTTGTGACAGCACCAATTGAAAACACTGGTTATATTACCAAAGGCTTTGACTGGAATATCATATTTCAGACACGTGCATAAACTCAAACATGACCAGACAGCTTTAAAGAACTAAGACTTGACTTTATAAAGCCAACAAAGCCCCTTGGAAGAACTGGCCTGGTACCTTGTTTATAGGGTTCCCGACAGCCTTACCAAGTGAGTAAGGAAGTCACTTCATGGCAGGTGCAGAAACTTCAGAATATCTTGGGGACCTCAAGAAAAGAGGAATTCACCCAAATCTACAGGTACTGCAGGCAAAACTTGATGGAAAATCTGGCTTGGCTTTCTGGCCTCGAGAGGCCTTTAAAAGCTCAATCTGAAATTCCTTATAGAAGTTCCAGCAAAGCACATCTAAAAAGAGCTTGTGCCATCAATGGCTGTTTTTGCTGCTTTTATGTAAATAATCAGGCCAACTGTTTTAAAGCTAAACTTACTTTATGTTAATAAAAATGAGCATAATTTTAGACAGAAAGAAGAGTTGTGTTTCAATAGTGCAACCTTATCACTATTAGATTCTAATACTGTTCATTATAAAATAGACTAGATACTGGAATCTAATTTCCTCAGAGTCCCTGGCTATGACTCCAAATGTTTCAGTTTTCTCCCATCATTTCAATTACAGTTTTACTATTTCTAGTCCTCATACTCAATCATTCATTCTTAATCTCCTTGTCAAGTTTGTTTCCTCCAGAACGAAAATCCAACTCCAGATGTTGCTCAGATTTCAATCTACCCTAATGCTGATGAAGATGCACATCACCAACCATGCAACTCAGCTGCACCCTCCTTTCATGTGACTTTGCCCACATCTGCCTCTGCTAAAATGGCTCCTGTTCCCTCTTCTCCCTGACAAACAGCAAGGAAGTACTGGACCCACAGGCAGAGACAATGCCCCTACTCAGCAGGAAGCAATAACAGAAGAGTGACCGACACCAATTTTTCCTTAAAAGATTTCAAGGGTCCATGTTCCTTGAGGAGTGAATGACGTGGGACAGACACATGGGACAAGCATCATGATTAACTTTTCCTGCCTATGATGAAGAATGCTGAGATATAAACAGTATAGTAAGAACAGGAGGGACTCCATCTTAAGGTTAAGATTCCATTTTAAAAAGCAGAGATTGAGAAGTAGGATTCCTAACATATTCTCTGGTAGTCAGACAATAGCCCAACAGCCTATCTTAAGGCAGGGCAGGCAGTCTTGACTGATATGTCCCCACTTTGCACTACAAAAGGACCCCCCAAGCACTACAAAAGGACCTCCAATCTCTCAACCTTGCCCCTAGCTGCCTGCTCCAGTATGCTGATGACCTCTTGCTTTGCAGTCCCTCAAAAAAAATGATTCTGTATCCTGGGGAAAAAGGGACACTGTGTCTCAGAACACAAAGCTCAACTAGTACAGCAAAAGTTCGCTTACCTTGGTCTTGACCTACCCCTACCACTCGCTGCATACCCACCTTCTGAAAACAAGTTATTAATAACCTCCCTTTCCCCACCAAAAAGAAAGATCTTCTTTCCTTTCTAAGGTTTCTTCTTAGCTATTTCAGAGTGTGGATCCAAAATTTCTCAATGCAAAATCACTTTACAAGGCTTCCCATGGGGATCCCCAAGAAAGGGTGCCAGAGACAGGCTTAATTTCTGCTTCTTTCTGGGCCCTTAAGTGAGCACTCCTCGAGGCACCTGCTTAGACTCTACCTAACCCTAACAAATCTTTCTTTTCTTAACCAGTAAAAAGGGACAAGCATTAGTGCTATTTGCACAATCAGCTGGAGACTCCCTCTAGCCTGTTGCCTATTTGTCCAAACAACTCAACCTTGTGATAAAAGGCTGGCCTCTCTGCTTACAGGTTTCAGCATCAGCTGCACTCCTTATCCCCAAAGCCCAAAAATTGCCCTTCATCAGCCCCGTAAGTATACTCCTCACACAACCTCTCTGACCTTCTCAGCCACTGGGCTCTAACTCTTCACTCCCTGGCCCAAGTACAACCCTCGATTACCTTCTACCTCTTCTGACCCCATTCGCCTTTATCACCCTCCTCCTTCTTTTCCTTCCCTGCTTAAGTAACCTATTCCAAAGATTTTTGCAGGATCAAATGGCAGCCATCTTCCAGACAACTACTCAAGAACACCTCCAAATGGCTTTCCTGCTTCAAAATATCAGAAAACCCCTTTCATCGCCCCTCTCAGGAGGAAGTAGCCAAGAAAAGAACAGCAACCAGTCTTCCTATATACCCTTTTAAAGCCAGGAATGATAGAATCCAGACCTGAGTACCGCCTTTTGAATAAGCCACCCACCATCACAGAGAGACCTAGGCATCATCTTACCTAGGCTACAAGCAGTCACCAGAGGACACATCAGCAAGCCATAAGCCCACCTTTCCTCTGACCCCTCCCGTCAAAGAGCCCCCCAAAAACCTGGCCATAAAAAGCCTCTTGACCCGTTTGAAACTCTCTTTCCTTTACTCTGCTGGTCAGAACAAGGGGATCCCTCTCAGGTTCAGCAATAAACCTGCTTGGACTATTGAGTTTGCATCCCCTCTTCTTTCACTGTATACATGCATACATTTATATACTTAAATACATGACTGTTAAGAATCTCTCAAGGTAATAAAGAAAAATGAACATGCTTGATTTTTCACAAGACTTCTAACCCAATTCTAAACTTACCTAAACTTCATTGTTTTTACATGCCATTGCCAGAAACAAATTGTTCCATCAGCACCAGTAGAAGTGAGGTATCTGGCTGTGCCTTTAGTTGATGGACAAAACTGAAAAAAAAAAGAAATTCTAATTAAAATAGCTTTCATGTTCAAACTTATTTTTAAGCGCAGCATGTTTTAAAATTATAATCTTTAATAATATACTTTAAACTTGCTTAAAAATTTCGATTTCAAGAAATCAGTTATTTAAATTTCCTAGATTAATGAATACCTTAAAAAAACTTAAAATGTCAAAAACCTGTAGAAAAAAGTCATTGAATTTACGATAAAATATTTTAGTCCTAAAAAATAATTACTTTTAAATTATTCAAGATCACACTTCAAGATTATTTCACTATTTTTAATGGAGGAAAATCCCACAAAGTCATTACTAGGTAAACTATTACAAATCTGCTAAGCATGTGCCTTATGTAGCAACAATTATGGAATTTTTACAGTTCATATGAATTGAGTATCATAAGTAAATGTAAAACCAATGATAGGAAGTTAATACCTAAGTATTTGGGATTTAATATTTTAATTTAAACTCGAACTTCAATGAAGTATGATATCAATTCTGTCCTTTTAAAATTTAAATCATTTTCATTTGTTTCAATATATAATGTAAAATAGGTCAAGTCCCTGTTCATATCATTGTGGAAAAAAGAGAATAAAAAAATACTTAAATTGCCAATTAAAGGATCACTATTACCCTAGATGGACTATGGATGGCCTTTACCGTGTAGCATTTTCAGGCTCTGACTCTCAGTGTTTTACATGTCCTTAGAAATGAATCACAGAGAAGGGTGATAAGATTCCCAAATTGAGATGAAGATTAAGGATCAAGATGCATAGGATCTGAATAAAGTTTGAACTTGAAAGAAAATGATCATTACAGATATTAGAAGTCATTTGTTTAGTTTTCTTGTTTGGAAGCACAGCACTTGTAAAGATGGCAGAGTTTAAACCAAACAAAATTATCACAACATTATTCATTAATAGTTGATATACAGTAAAGAGACCAATACTCAGGTACCATGCCTATGTTTTCGTTTCTGAGATACAGAAGCTTGCATTAAAAAGCTTAATCCACAATCTATAGCAAGAGTCTGCAAATTATGGTGCAAATGCCAAATTCAGCCTGCTGCCTGCTTCTGTAAACAGAGTTTTATTGGAACAAAGTCAGCTTACATTGCCTATTGCTGCTTTTGCACTGTAACAGAAGGGTTAAAGCAGTTGCAACAGAGACCATATGGCCTATGAAGCCTAAAATATTTGTTATTGTCTGGCCTGTAAATTTGCTGATCTCTAATCTATAGGAATGAGACAATGAAATATGAAGTAATATACTTTTACTAAGTTCAAAGAAACACTAAAACCTTTATGATCCGCATTACCCATTATATTTAAATTGCTTCATCAATCACAAAGGGGTATCTGGCCTATTAATGTACTTTAATTATATTGCATTTAAATGAGAAATCATGTTTGAGATTATAAAAAAAACACATGTGCATTTCTGAATACAAAATAATGCATAGTATTGAAGAAATATAGAAAATACAGAAAAATATAATAACAGCTACTTATAACCCCAACACCCAGATTCCACTAATATCATTCCATTTTACTAACATCATCCTATTTTCACAATATGGTGAAAGAAAAAGAAACTGGAAGGATAATACACCATGATGTTAACAGATATGGTCAATTAGCAAAGAAGAGAGCATATAGAATGCATGCTAAATGGTGATCATTACCACCACATATGGTAACATGTTAACTAGACTTAGAGTAATGATCATTTTGCAATATACAGAAATAAATATCAAATCATTATATTGTACATCTGGAAAAAAATTACTGTGGATAAAAATCAAAGTACAGGAAGATACAGAGTGCCGGTGGGGAGCACAATTTACAATTTTAGAGTGATAAGGTAGTCAGAGAAGGCTCCCAGATTAGCTGACCTGAGTAAGACAATCCAATTTTGTATATGTTGAGCTTGAGATGCCTAGCAGACATTCATGTGATGATACCAATTAGGTAGCTGAATTACAAGTATGAAGCTAAAAGACAGGTCCTAAAATGGAAATAGAAGTTTGAGGGTAATCAGCCTGTGGATGATATTCAAAGTCATGAGACTTGATGAGATCACTAGGGGAAAAATGTGATAGAAAAGAGGTCCATGGAGGTGGAGCCAAGATGACGGCGTGAGTAGAGCAGCGGAAATCTCCTCCCAAAACCACATATATTTTTGAAAATACAACAAAGACAACTCTTCCTAAAAGAGAGACCAGAAGACACAGGACAACATCCAGACCACATCCACACCGGTAATAACCCTGTGCCTCGTGAAGGGGGTAAGATACAAGCCCGGGCCCGGCGGGACCCGAGTGCCCCACACCCCAGCTCTGGGCGGTAGGAGAGGAGTCGGAGTGGGTAGGCAGAGGGAGCCCAGGACTGCTAAATACCCAGCTCTAGCCATCCGTACCAGAGCGCAGACACAGTGCATGCGTGGGGTCCTGGATACTAGGGAAACAGGATAGAAAGACGTGTGAGCGGGTCCCGGCAGCCGGAGCCCTGGGGACAAAGAAAAGCGAGTGCTTTTTGGAAGTCTTAAAGGGACACGGACCCCACTGCTGGATGGAAGCATCCTGGGACACTTAGTTCAGCAGCAGGGAATCTGGGAAACTCTGGGCACTCTAACCCCTAGGCAGCAGGGAGCACGGAGGACCCTCATGGAGATAAATAGCCTCCCGGCCATTCCCCCTCCAACACAGCTCCACCATATCGGAGGAGCAGCCCCAAGGCAGGCCACGCCCACAGCAACAGCGGAAATAAACTCCATAGCAGTCGGGCAAGAATCAGAAGCCCCGTCTGCACGCAGCTGCCTAGCACACGCCACGAGAGGTTACTGTTCTCCCAGGAGAGAAAGGCCACAAACCAACAAGAACGGAAGTTCTTCCAGCCGTCACTCATGCCATGCCTACAAACTATCTCTATCGCCATGAAAAGGCAAAATTTCAGGCAGACCAAAATAACAGAGATAACACCTGGGAAGGAGACAGACCTAACCAGGCTTCCTGAAAAAGAATTCAAAATAAAAATCATAAACATGCTGACGGAGATGAAGAGAAATATACAAGAGCTATGGGATGAAGTACGGAGGAGGGAGATTACAGACGCGCAGAGGGAGATTACACATGTCCGGAAGGAGAATACAGAAGTGAAACAAACTCTGGAAGAATTTATAAGCAGAATGGATAAGATGCAAGAGGCCATTGATGGAATAGAAACCAGAGAACAGGAACACATAGGAGCTGACATAGAGAGAGATAAAAGGATCTCCAGGAATGAAACAATATTAAGAGAACTATGTGACCAATCCAAAAGAAACAATATCTGTATTATAGGAGTACCAGAAGAAGAAGAGAGAGAAAAAGGGATAGAAAGTGTCCTTGAAGAAATAATTGCTGAAAACTTCCCCAAACTGGGGGAGGAAATAATAGAACAAACCACGGAAATACACAGAACTCCCTACAGAAAGGACCCAAGGAGGACAACATCAAGACACATAATAATGAAAATAGCAAAGATCAAGGAAAAGAACAGAGTTTTAAAGGAAGCTAGACAGAAAAAGGACACCTATAAAGGAAAACCCATCAGGCTATCATCAGACTTCTCGACAAAAACCTTACAGGCCAGAAGAGAATGGTATGATATATTTAATGCAATGAAACAGAAGGGCCTTGAACCAAGAATACTGTATCCAGCACGATTATCATTTAAATATGAAGGAGGGATTAAACAATTCCCAGACAAGCAAAAGTTGAGGGAATTTGCCTCTCACAAACCACCTGTACAGGGTACTTTAGAGGGACTGTTCTAGACGAGAGCACTCCTAAGACTAAACAGATGTCACCAGAGAAAATAAAATCACAGCAAAGAAAGCACACCAACCAAATACTAACTAAAGGCAAAAAATAAAACCAACTACCCACTAAAAGCAGGGAAAGGAAACATGAAAGAGCACAGAATAAAACAATCAACATATAAAGAATGGAGGAGGAAGAATAAGAGGGGATAGAAGAAAAGAATCTCCAGACAGTGTATATAACAGCTCAATAAGCAAGTTAGGTTAGGCAGTAAGATACTAAAGAAGCTAACCTTGAACCTTTCGTAACCACGAATCTAAAGCCTGCAATGGCAATAAGTACATATCTTTCAATAGTCACCTAAAATATAAATGGACTGAATGCACCAATCAAAAGACACGGAGTAATAGAATGGATAAAAAAGCAAGACCCATCAATATGCTGCTTACAAGAAACCCACCTCAAACCCAAAGACATGAACAGACTAAAAGTCAAGGGATGGAAAAACATACTTCAGGCAAACAACAGAGAGAAGAAAGCAGGGGTAAAAGTACTAGTATCAGACAAAATAGACTTCAAAACAAAGACAGTAACAAGAGATAAAGAAGGACATTACATAATGATAAAGGGCTCAGTCCAACAAGAGGACATAACCATTCTAAATATATATGCACCCAACACAGGAACACCAACATATGTGAAACAAATCCTAACAGAACTAAAGGGGGAAATAGAATGCAATGCATACATTTTACGAGACTTCAACACGCCACTCATCCCAAAGGATAGAAACCCTGGGCAGAAAATAAGTAAGGACGTGGAGGCACTGAACAACACACTAAAACAGATGGACCTAAAAGACATCTATAGAACTCTACATTCAAAAGCAACAGGATATACATTCTTCTCAAGTGCACATGGAACATACTCCAGAATACACCACATACTAGGTCACAAAAAGAGCCTCAGTAAATTCCAAAAGATTGAAATTCTACCAACCAACTTCTCAGATCACAAAGGTATAAAACTAGATATAATTCTAAAGAAGCTAACCTTGAACCTTTGGTAACCACGAATCTAAAGCCTGCAATGTCAATAAGTACACATCTTTCAATAGTCACCCTAAATATAAATGGACTGAATTCACCAATCAAAAGACACAGAGTAATAGAATGGATAAAAAAGCAA